AAGGTGTTAAACTTTAGTTAAATAATTTTTACTTCATTTCTGATAGACATAAGTGCAATAAAACATTTTAAAAGGACAAAATTATAGATAAGTTAAATTTTAATGCAATCGAGAAAAATAAAGATTCAATTCAAAGATTTTACTACTTTGAATAGGAAGAAACTACACTCTACAATATATATACTAGGTATAATAAATTAAGGTTCAAATGATTTTGTCAACCAAGATATATAAATAATTCAAACATACATTTAAAATGCTACTTTGTTCTGTTAATCCAGTAGCGTGACATTTAAGGTATTGGCAAAATTTAGTTTATAATTCTTCTACCACTTTATATAATCTCCTGTAGAATGTGGAACATCTCTGTGTATGATTTGATTTTTAAGAATAAAATATTTATATATATATTTTGATTTTTAAGAATAAAATAAATAAAAAATATTTAAAATTACTTTTCTTGCTTTGAGGCTCATGTGACATACAGTCTATTGCAGATTTTTCTTTTTCTAAGACTTTATGAGATCGAAGAACATGTGGTTGATTCTCAGTGGCATTATGATCTGTAAGTAAGGAAAAAAATTATAAACTTTAGGAAAATAAATAAATTTATTCTTTATCATCCCTGCATTGGCCTTTAAATATATTTTGAGATGGGGAGAGTTGAGGGATTAAAATTACTGTTGGGAAATAATTTTCTCAACGCTTCCGGGTAAACAACATTTACAATACGTGGTATGCTCATCTGGTTGCAAAATCAATAAATTGTTGACTGAACTTACCCAGTTGAAGGGGTGCAGATTTTTTTTAAAACGTTTTTTTTTAAATTTTCAATGGCAGATTATAGATAGTATCAGCATGCATAAACATCTAAAAATAAGAACAGAAACAAAAGATGTTGCAACAGAGTCTATTAATCACAACATGTCTCTAGCTTCCCAATAGCGTTCAGTGATAGAATTCCCGCTAAGTGCAGGGCAGCTGAGAAGGTGCGTGGAGTCCATGTCCTCACCAGAACTGCAAAGAGTGCATACCGGGGAAGGAATGATACCAAATCTGAACAGATGTTTCCGCAGACAGTCAAGCGGAATTCAGCCACCGCTCGTCGTCTTGGGTGGAGAGCGTTAGCAAGCAGGGGGCGCAGCCCACTAGTTGTCTTTAATACTCTTAATTTAATTTTTAATCAACAGTAAATTTTCGACCATTTTTTAACATTCATTTTAAAAGCACAAAAACTTATCAAGAGTTTCTAAAAATTTGTAAATTCATAGACTGCCTAATGTTAAATAGAACCTCACATATTTTTTTTTAAAAAAAAGCAAAATAACAAAGATTTAAAGCTTTCGATAAAATGAATTAATCTGTAACTAACTGATAAAATACACAACATTTAAATTTATAAATAAGTTTAAATTTATAAATTACATTTTATTAGTTCATGCTATTTAATAATGAATTTTCGTAAAAAAAATTTACAAATCATTGAGCAAGAAACAATTTTTAAGTTTGTTTTGAGCAAGTAAATTAAATGATTTAAAAATCTAAACCAAAAGTTGACTATTGTGGTCTTAAATTTGTAAATTTGTGTGATTTAAAAATGTCATAAAACAAGATTTTTCAAAAAGTTCTTTAAATGATATACAGTACAGAACCCGTTATCCGGAAATCAGAAAACCGGAAAACCAATAAACCGGAACGAAATTCGAAAAATTTTCTCGCCATTTTTTTAAAAAAATGTTTTTTTCCTCATAAGATTTTAGGATTTTTCTTTCTTTTCTGAAAGATGTTTACCTTACCATCATTTTGGAAATAATCATTAGTATATTACTTCATCGTTTTTTCTTCTTTTAAAAGATTATTTCAAAATATTATTATTTTTTTTAGTTGGGTTTAACAATAAAAAAACGGCTTCTTGTAGTGATTCAGAAAACAGGAAAAATCAGTTATCCGGAATAGCGATGGTCCCGATCGTTCGGGATAATCGGTTCCCTACTGTATAAGGTTAATTGTGTCAAATTATGAAAATTATAACTTTCATTATTACCCTGAGGATCTAATGAAGCAAAATTCTTATTTTCAGTAGTTTTACATGAACGAAAATTGTATGGCTGCTCTTTGGATTGTGGTGGTGGTGCTTGCTGTTCTATTGTAGGTAACTTTATTGATTGTTTTGTTGGGGACATTGGCTTTGCATGCTGTTCTGTTGGAGATGGAGACTTTGTCTGCTGCTTTGTTGAAGATGTTGGTTTTGTCTGTTGCTTTGTAGGAGACAATGGATTTGTCTGTTGTTTTGTTGGAGACAATGGATTTGCCTGTTGTTTTGTTGGAGATGGTAGCTTTGCCTGCTGCTTTGGACAAGTTGGTGACTCGACTTCATCACTTGTTCTTATTTCAACCTCATTGTCTACAAGAACAAGAAACATTACAAAAACAAATTTGAAATCGAAAACTATAAAAAAAATAATAAAGTAAAAATTTGAATTTTAATGATAAGAAAATTAAAATTCAAACATAAAACGTATCAGTAACACAAATAACTTTGGAATTTATACTTATCTGCATTAAGTTAGAGAATATACATTAACTTACGTTCAAAATTGGTAAAAAATGTCAGTAATTAATTTAAACTAATAACATAAATATCAATAACAAACAATATTAAGGGATCACATGCTTGAATTAATCTTGTCTGCACAATAGTGCATGCTTTAGAAAATGTTTTTTTTTAGAAAATTCTGTATATTTATATAATTACCAAAAGCAAGAGATGAAACTTCAACACATAATCGTTTAGAATAATCTGGATTGAAATTTAAAATATCTGAGTCGCCTTCGTTCTTCCTCTTCACTCCTTTCTCTTTAACTATAAGTAAATATTTAAAAAAATTAGCTGACTAATAAATTTTCTAAAAATACTTAAAGAAATAAAATTTTTATCAAATTAAAAAATTAACAAAAATTGAAGACACTAAAAAATGCATAAAAAGGGTAATGATAAGGCATATTTAAGGATTGTGATGATGATAAATGTATTTATTTGCTTGTTTGGTCATTTTTTCATTAATAGAACATTTTTTTATAATTATTACCATCATTTTTTACAATTATTTAGATTTTTCCTTATTTTTAGTCAGTTTCCTATTAATTTTGTTTAAAAGTTTGCTGATGAATTAATTTTTTAATAAATTAATGCAAATTTAGCATTGAATCTTGTTTTTTAAATATATTCCAAAGAAAAGATTTGATATCAATTCCAGTTTTCCAATTAGTTTTTGGGCAAAAGACATTATATTAATTTCAACAATGTGAAAAACATTTGAAAATATAATGCCAATTCTTATTTTCTTGCAGACTAAATGTCAGAAATTGCAGCGTTTTCTCAGTTAAAAATTTGCCCCTATTACACTGATTAGTATTCTTTTGTTACAAGATTAAAAAATAGGCTGTAGTTAATATTACACAGTCAAGGTTTACAGATTTTTGTGAGTTTTTGGTGCAACGAAACCCATTGTTTCACAAGGAAATGTTTTAATAAATGGTTGGTTAAATGATAAAGGAGTTTAAAGCTCCTATTTGGCATCATATGTCTATCTTGAAGATCTGTGCTAACAGGTAAATTATATTCTTTTATCTGTAGCTAAATCTAGAATTATGTATTTATATCAGACTTTTTTATATGTTCTTTTTTATATATTCTTTTTCATCGAAATTTTTTTTTAAAGACTAAATAAATATCCTTGTAGACAGTTATTGTAGATTATTAACTATTTCTATATCTTTGAAATTATTTAAAAACAATTTAAGGTGTTAAACTTCGTTATTAGGGTACCATTCCTGTAAACGGACAATTTTTTTGGTCCCAAGAATGTCTGCTTAACGGAGGTTTCATTGTATATATATATATTCTCATTTACGCCCGAGTATTGAAATCAAAACGAAGTTTACTTCGTACTATAAATGATAAAAGTTGTACAAATAAAAAATTAAAAAATAATACTACAAAAACAGACATACTATTGTTTCAGTTTTACAATCAAGAATCTTATCCAGTGTCTCTATTATTTAATAATTCAACACAGAGGCAGTTTTCGCTTATAGTATCAGAACTATATGTTTGCTTTTGTGGCTTTGTTTGTGCTTTATTCCCGTTGTTTAGCTTTATTCGTATGTAGTTACAATGTATACCTTATCTTCATCATCATTGTAGTTTACCTTATCTTCATTAAAAATGTTCTATAGTTTGTACAGTGATGCTAAGTACACATGAATTATAAAATAACCGATACTTTTTAAAAACAAAATCGGAAAGAATAGAAATAATATACCAGAAACTGCGGCAGAATTATCTTCAATATTCTCCGAAGTTTCTTTTTCTTGTAAAGTAGTACTACTATCACTCATCTCTAAACTATGTTCCTGAATATCTAGACAAAAATTAATATTATATAGTTTGAACAATCATGCAAAGTACATGCGAATTATAAAATAACTGCTAATATTTTTAAAATAAAATTAGAAAGATTTGATATAATATCCAAATTAGTGGTAGGTAGAATCTACGAAAAACTAGCTAGTGTCTTTCCTTTGTAAACTTGTATAATTAAAACTTTTCTCTGAACTATGTATAAGGGATATTTGGACTAGGAATTACATAAACTTAATTCCGATTAATACAGTCATCCCAGTTCAATTTGCATGTTGGATAATAGAATACTTGGCGAATGCAAGTAAAATTTACTGGTAGTAAAACCAAATTATTTTATATGAAAACAATGTTTAATTTCCTCACTTAAATAATTATTTATGGTTTTCATTCCTCACTTAATAGCATGAAGAAAAAAATAATTATCATTATGAATATATACACATGTATAAATACATTTCAAAATTATTTTTTGTGTTTGTCCCTTACTTTGAGTTTTTCAGATTATCCATTTCTGTCATAAGAAGTGCCCCAGGCACCCATTATACCTGTATAACAGTTGGGTTGAAAAGTTCAAATGCTGACACATAGATGGGGCTACTATTATTAAATAAATATGATTTTTAGTTAGTTCTAACCTTTGAAAGACACGTGCATAAGTTTGACAGCTGTCGGACTATTAGTTTGTGAGATATAGTATTTTTAGTGAAGCAACTTTTGTTAGTTTAAAAACAATGGATAAAAAGGAATTTCGTGTGTTTTTAAGGCATTGCTTTTTAGAGAAAAAAATACTCTTGAAGCCAAGGCTTGGCTTGCGAAACATTATTCGGACGCTGTACCAAGAAAATCAACCATTGAGAAGTGGTTTGCTAAGTTTAAACGAGGCAAAATGAGCACCGACGACGATGCACACAGTAGTCGACCCAAAGAGGCTGTTAACGACGAAAACATAAAAAAAGTCCACAAAATTATTTTAGATTACAGTAAAGAAAAGTCGATCAAAATATCCGAGACTCTAAAGATATCAAAGAAACGTGTTGAACATATCGTGAATGAATATTTGGGTATGCGAAAGCTGTAGGCAAAGTGGGTGCTGCACGAGCTCCCAATTGTACAAAAACAACAACGAATTGATGATTCTGATCTGTGTTTGAAGCTGTTTAATCGTAATAAACCCGAATTTATGCGTCAATATGGGACAATGGGTGAAACATGGCCCCATAATTTCACACCGGAGTCCAACCGACCGTCAGCCAAGTGAACTGCACGAGACGAACCAACTCCAAAGTATGGAAAGGCGCAACAGTCAGCTGGAAAAGTTATGGCGTCAGTATTTTGGGATACTCATAGTATAATATTCATTGACTATCTTGAAAAGGGAAAAACCATCAACAGCGGCTATTACATAGCGTTATTGGAGCGTTTGAACTACGAAATCGCAGAAAAACGGCCACATTTGAAGAAGAAGAAAGTGCTGTTTCATCAAAACAAAACACCGTGTCACAAGTAAATGAAAACGATGGCAAAATTATATGAATTGGTCTACCTTATTCTCCAGATCTGGTCCTCAGCGACTTTTTCCTGTTCTCAGACCTCAAGAGAATGCTTGCTGGAAAGAAATTTAGCACCGATGAAGAAGTAATCACCGAAACAAAAGCCTATTTTGAGGCTAAAGACAAATCGTACTGTAAAAATGACATCGAAAAATTATATGACTGCTATAATCCTTGTATCGCCCTTGAAGGAAACTATATTGAAAGATAAAATGGAATTTTATCAAAAAAATTTTTTTTTCTATGTTAGCCTAGGAACTTTTCAGCCCAACTGTTACATCTGTGGATAATCAAGGCTCTTACTGTATATATATTACTGCATACATACCGGCTTCAACATACTGTATATATATATATATACAGTATGGAACCCCTAATCTGGCGGGACCCGAAATTCGGCATTTAATCCGACCTAATTTTTTTTTTCTAAAGAAATTTTCTTTGATACGAGAAAAAAAAACAGTCATATTCTCTTTTCATTTGGAATTTTTTCTCTTGAAGTAAGTAACTATATTTTATCTTTTAAAAAGAAAAAAAAGCATGAAAAAAAAATAAATCTGTGTCAAACAAAACGTCTGTTCCTAAAGCAGTTTAAAATAAAGTAAAAACATCTGCATTTCCAATGAATAAAATAAAGAAATGCAAGTTGGAGAAACTGATCAATCAATCTTGACAGCTGTGCAAGTGCTTAACTGGTTTGTCCCCACATTTCCCTCTCCTGTTTGACCATAAATTAGCCACACTCTTATGACATTGAAACTACCATGTGGTGAACAAAATGAATTCTATCCCTTTTGCTTTTTTTATTAGTTTTATTCATTTATCTTTTTTTTTGCATTAACTGTTACTTTTTTGTGTTAATTGTTAACTTTTTTTCATCCTGCTTAGTTGTTTGCTTCTTTTTTGTAGTTAGTCATTGTTAGCTTTCCTTCTTTTTTTTTTGCTAGGTGAGCGTCCTTTGTTAAAATAAAATGTTATGTAAAAAGAAATGAGAGCAATGATTTTGCACGGAAGAAAAAACGATTATTTCCTTTTCGGAGGATTCGGATTATTTTATCTTGAATTATTTCTTCTTTGGATTATTTCTCCTTGATTATATTATATAGATTATTATTTTTATTAATGAAATTTCTTAAGATGGGACCGTTTTAAATTCACCCCATCATAATCTACAATCGTAACTAAGCTAAATTTATTGTTTTTTCTGAAATTAACAGCATAATTGAATTATTGTAATATATGGGCGCCATATTGGAATTTCCGGAAGAGATCCGAAATTCGGCAAATTCCGAAATATGAAATTTTGTCGGTCCCGTGAGTGCCGGATTTTGGGTCCTCTACTGTGTGTGTGTATATATATATATATTGACAGAGAGATAGGTAAGGTATATATTTTACCATAATTTTTGGGAGATTGAGATGTAATATCTTCTTGTAAAGAAATTTCAGAATCACCACAAGGAAATAAATCAGCAGAACCTAAAAAAAAATTTCAAGAAATCAAAAATACAAAAACAAAAATATAATTCAAGTAATAATAATTATAAGCCAGTGCACACTCAATTAGAATAAAATTAATGTACAGTCCACAAAAAAAAAAAAATATCACCCTGAATAAC